GAAATCATTATTCACTGTATGTGATGAAACTGGACTTTTATTAAGTAGATCTGAGAATTGTTTCAATAATCTTCAACCTGAAAAACGCCTTACGTTCACGTGTGCTAAATGGAAAGTCAGAGACCCCTGGGGGTTCAGATATAGCTATATTCGATATAATACTGTTGTTTAATATTCATGTATTATTATTTGTTTTAAGGAGAAATGTAGAACATATTGATATATTAATTTTTAGAAATCTATAAAATTTAAAATTATTTACAATTTTCACAGGAATATAAGTTAGACAAACGCCGATTTTATTATATATTTCAAAATCTGTTATACTTCTTTGAATTGCATTGAAATTCTACTGTAAAATTGTATCATTGGTTAATCATCATGCACGTGTAAAAGTTTGGTCTTTTCTCACATTTCTTAAGCTTCGAAGAGTTGATCTTCTTCAGATGATGTTGGATGCCCGAATGGCTAAAGAAGACATTCAAAATGTGACTGCACAACAGCTGACCGCTGGTGAAGATGAGCCAATAGAAGATGTTTCTAAAGGCAAAAAAGGTAAACATAAGCCTAACGTATTTCAAGGATTAAAAACAAACTAAAATAACGACCAAGTTATGAGTTTATGTCAAATTATTTTCATGTATCAACTACATATAATGTTATAGGCTAGTAACATAGGTTCTTCATGTATCAACTACATATAATGTTATAGGCTAGTAACATAGGTTCTTCATGTATCAACTACATATAATGTTATAGGCTAGTAACATAGGTTCTTCATGTATCAACTACATATAATGTTATAGGCTAGTAACATAGGTTCTTCGAATTCTTACACGGATACATAAAGTTATCCGTGTATTTCAGGTCATTGGTTGAATATATATATATAGATATAGATACATATATTCAAAATATTTATTCTCCCCTTCCAAATACACTTCTTGGCCATATTGTTTGGTCGTATTTTGACCTTCTCAGTTTTAACATTAGCTCCTGCAGCCTCACGAAAGTTCATATCTGGACTTTGTTGAAGCTAAGCCATGATTGTGAGTATTTCATCGGTATGTTGTTCTATGTATGTTCCTTGTCGTTCTAGAAAATGAATCTCCGCCGAATGAGTTATACTACTGGGAGAATTGAATGTTGGAAAAGAATGTGCTTGCAGTCAGGGTGCCATCAGTTTTGTGTAGAACCCCAACACTGTTGGTTGAGTTGCAGCATCAAATTTGTACTGACCCTCAACCATGCTTCATTGTAGTAGATATAATTTGACTTTGATACCCTTCTGATCCCCGCCCTCGAACGAATTGTCGTTGATTTTTGCCGAACAGTTCGAATCTCGATTCATTTCTAAAGAGCACATGTTCCCATCTTTCCTCATTCCACTGATCGTGTTCCGAAACTCTTTTCAACCTTTTGTGTTGTTTACCGCGAGCAGCTACAAGTCCATCCAGACCATTTCATGTTAAAGTGTATTTTACTGTTCTCAAGGTAACATTCACCTGTATTTACATCAAGTTCACTGACCAGATCTGTAAAAAAAGATACAGAAATAGATGGTGAAATCCCTATTTGTTTATGTTTTGTACATTTTTGCATTTATTTGACCAGAAACTTCGAAGGACGGGAAAAGGCAGATGAAGTTTATCACAGATGTGGAAATTAAAGCAAATTCTATCCTTTTCTTACTGGCCGGGTAAGTCTAGTATCCACCTATTATAGTAAGTACAATAGCTATGTAAAATGACCGTACTTAAACTGTGTCGTTCGGATATGGTTAATACTATTATAAGAAAAAGCAATTGAAATAATCTCTTGTGCCACTGTATGTGAACAAGAATTATATAATCTCTATACATATATATATATATATGTATAGTGTATGTATGATGTATTAACACCACGAGTATTGTTATATATATATATGTAGTGTGTGTATTATTGGTGTATATGGATTGGATATTTTGATTTTTGATTATCGATTTCTGAAAACAATAACAAGCATTGTTTTGTTATACAGACTAGAAGACCTTTTTAAGTGAACATGTGTTATATAAGTTAAATCCGACGTGCAGTTCGTTATAATTAGTAGTATGAGTATTTTGTGTTATCATTTAGAGAGACTGAGTGTAAGAATAAATCATGCTAACTTTCATTAAGTGGAAACGATGAGACATGTACATAGTCCAACACACGTTTTTGTCTAAAAGAAAACATAATGAAATATTAAATAATTTAAAACTAAAGAGATAAAACCAAATTAACTAGTACATCAGTTAACAATTGACTTTGAGTATATATATGTAGCGTGTATGTGTAATGTATTAACATCGCGACTATTGTTATAGACGTAATAACAATTGGTATAAGTAGCTGGATTAGATATTTTGGTTTTTGATTGTCGATTTTTCAGAAAAACAGACATTGTTTTGGTATGCAGACTAGAAGAGCTTTTTTTAAGTGAACATGTGTTATATGAGTCAAAGCCGACATGTAGTTCGTTATATTGATTTTGTATTACATACTGACGTCACATATTGAGGGTGTACTGCAGTAAAGCCACATTTTCTAATATTTGACAAGATGTGTTTGTAATACTATAGCATTGTGTTTCTTGGATATATACATATATAATATTTAAAAATAAACATTTATGGAAAAAAAAAGAATCAAAATTCACCATTTGACATAAAATAAAACTTAAACGTACTTAATAAAAAGATTAAAAACTCGGAAGTCTGAACGTTGAAAATAGCTCTAGAATTATTTAGAAAGGGATCTTTTGGATTCTGCTGGACATTTGTCTGGATTCCAAAAGCGGTTTGACCAATGACATCAGTTGTCAGTTCTTGGTACATCTCGTATATATCGAAATCCTCTTCTGTTTGGGCTTTTTCGGCAATTTTTTCCATAAGGATCCCAATAGCTTTCTGCATGATTGGTGTCATCTGAAAGG